TCCACAACAATAACAATTTACAGCATGGAATTTTCAGCGTTTCTTTTACATATTGCAATGGTTTAGCTCTGTTTATAATTATACATAAATGTATAAAATGTTAAAATATATTGATAGTTAATAGGAAAAAATAAAAACCCCAACAAAGTCACACCATTGCTAGGTCATGGTGAATAATAAATAAGTAATATAACAAATAACACATGCATTAATATGCATCATTGCATTTTATAGTTTAGTTAATGATTTAAAAGTTGTAAAAGTTCTTTTCTGATATTCATCTCTTCACACAATACTCGTGCCAAATATGGTACGGTCGAATTTTTATATTTTGTAGTACGAGCACAAATGTTGATGAAATTTCTTCTGGTCTTACCCGAAGAGATACAAGGAAACAATTGTGAATAAAGAGGATGTTCACTATCAGACAAGATAACTTTAGCTAAGTGCTTTTACAAGAAATCATATGCCTATTGACAACAGTGTCAGTTAGTTGAGTCAAAGGGATAGCACTGACCCCACTTACAGCCTTCAATGTTCTTCGTAGTATTATATGGTCTTTTTTGAGTAGCCCAGGGAAGAATAATGGAGAACAATAAAGAATGATGGGCAAAACACATGAATTAATAAATTGTATGAGAAGAGATTGGGTTATACCTGAGTGCCTCAACTTCTTTATGTAATAAGTCAGACGGAAAACTTTCGTAGAAACTATAAGAATGTGAGACGACCAGCAAAGGTTTGAAGAGAAACTGATGCCAAGATAAGAAACACTTGACTTACTCCCTATCATGGTACCGTCAATATTACAACAATCATGAGATTGGATCAATCTATGCATGTCTTTTTCACTTCTCAAGCTGAAATCAACTGTATTACATTTAGTTGGATTTAGTTTAAGACCATTTGATCCAGACCAATCCTTAACTTCAGCTAAGAAGCTTCATATGGGAACAATCCGATGTGGAAACTACAGGGACAGAAACGGTCAGATCATCAGCACACTTAATGAAGTTAACTTTGGGTGAGTTCGGAAGGTCATGCAAAAAGAAAGAGAAAAGAAATGGAGAAAGTACTGCACCTTGAGGCACACCACTTTCAGTTAGCTGAGAAGTGGAGCGCTTTCCAGCCAAAACAGTATGCTGTTTCCTATCCTTAAAATAAGAAGACAGCCATCTAGTTGCCCAGGACTCTGTCTGTGCTGAAATCATCTTTCCTAATAAAAGTGTCCTAGGAACAGAGTCGAAAGCTGCAGTATAGTCTAAAAAAGCTGTTCGAACGAACTTAGCACCCTTATCAAGGCAGGAAACAATATTGTGGTGTAGTACAATGTCTGCATCTAATGTACTTCTTCCACACTTATAAGCAAACTGCTTAGGGTCACTAAAAGCTTTTAAAGAAGGTTTAAGAATATTCAAAACTAGTTTCTCCATAGTTTCGGAAAAAGGAGATGTTATAGCGACGGGTCTAAACTTTATACCTGCTCCAGAAGATCATTTCTGTACAGGTACAACCTTGATTTCTTTCCAGTCAGCAGGTACCGTTTCCTTGTTAAATGATGCATTAAAGATTTGAGTAAGAGGATGACACAAGATGTCTGCATACTTTTGAAGAAGAATGCCTGGTACACCATCTGGACGAAGGCTGTGTGTTGGATTTAAAGATTTCAAAAATAATAGTACATCCTCTTCTTTAAAACCCGGAAAATGACCATTATCTTGACTAGGTACATCAGGTACAGGCATAATAATTTGTTTCTCTAGATTTCTTATCTTATTCGGGTCAACCAATCTAGATTTTGCTAAGTTTTTATGTTCAGCTAGTTTGACTCACTGCCCCTGTTCTACTAGTTTGGCCTATATATTTGACCTGACAATCATTGCAGGGTATGAGATAAACTGAATTGTTTTGTCTTAAAGGCTCCACAGGATTGATCCTTTAACCGACAAAGCATGTTTCTAATTGAGTTTGCTGTTGGTTTGAATGGCAGCCACTTGTATTCCTGTCCACCTTTTTAGGAATTCTTCGTAAGGCTTCCAAGGGTCCTTCCTTGTATGAAATTACTACTGATGATTTAGATTCCTTATTGTTGGTGTCGTCAGTAATATTATTATTATCACTATTATTATTATTATTATCATTATTATTGTTATTATCACTATCGCTAGTATCATTATTTATTTTATTTTTACATTTCCATTCATATTTCCTGATTAATTTATCCGGGTAATTATTAAGTTTCAAGGCTTTTTTTAATGTGTATCAGTTCCTGTTTTAGATTTTTGTACCTTGTACCTTTGTACTTGCAATTTACTTGTAAGTGCAGGTGAATTGATAATTCAATTGTCATTATTATCTGCGCATTTTCTGTTGTACCTCACCAGGTTGGACTCATTATTATTATTCTTCTGATTTGAAATAATGCAGAAGATTTGTAGCTCAGGTGGATAATTTCGATTTAGTTGTGTTCTCTGAGCTGGTTTATTTAACTGCAAAGCTTTGCTTGTCCTTTCTAAACAATATCGTCGGTGCAGGCTTTTATTATTATTAATAATAATAATTTGCTTTATTCCAGAAACAGTATTAGTGGTACAGTGTGAAATTTTCAGCACATATCTACAATATTTGCATCTAATTTTGTCCAACGTTTCAAAGGATTATTTTCAAAAATTAAAAATTAATGAATATCACGACAACAACTACAAAAAAAGCACAAAATAATTTAGAAAAATGCGAAAAAATACCCGGAAGTAGAAAGGAAAATAAACAGCATAATAAATAATATCTCAGTATCGGGCAGTGGAAGCAATGATATGATTATGCATGGTGACAGTAAAGCTATAGTCATACAAGAAGTTATGAAATGATATTTAAGAATGTTTATCGCCAAGATGATCAGTTAATTTGGTTGAAAAACCAACACTAAACAATCATAAAATAACATTTCAGGGTTGTTATTTTGTTTTTTATAGTCAGGTCTAATGCAGTGTTTGTAGTGGTAGTGTGAGTAATCCTGCATAATACTAAATTTTAAGGTGGTGACAATGGCGTTCAAAACCAATGACTGTCAGTTAATACTGCCGAAAAAAAATAAAAAATAAGAAAAAACAACCACAAAACTAATAATTACATGATGTTTAATGACAGGACAATTTTGTACTACTCATAGTGCTAATATAGTCGGAACCAGTAGATACACAAAAGAAGGAATACAGTGAAGTACAAAAAGGAAGCCAGTGTTAATAATTTAGGTAGCTAAGTGTATTTAGGAAGGAGTTCACTATAGAATACAAAATAAGAGAGAAATAAAAGAGCCTAAAATTGTGTTATTAACAACAAAGCAAGTCATAGGTTTCGCGCTTAACATTGTCTCTGTCACTTAGAACACGGACCAAATATGGAATCGTTGAGCATATATTATTTTGTACTGATTTCTGATTCTACTTGATGAGATACAAGACGAGAGTTGGGAATAGACGGGGTGTTAGGGGTCAGACAGTATGGTTTTAGACCATTTTTCGCATGTATTCAGATGCCTTTCAACTAATGTACTGACGAGCTGACTGGGTTTTACACCACTAGTCCTACCAACTAACTTCGACATCTTTCTCAGGATGGTATAGTCCTTTTTCAGCAGCCCGGGAAAGACTAACGGGGAGCAGTAAAGTAGTATAGGTAAGATACAAGAGTTGACAAATTGTGAAAGTACAGGTTGGGTGATTCCAGATTGTCTAAGTTTCTTAATTTAGTAATAGTAGGTTAGACAGAACACTTTCTTAGAAATCGTTAAGATATGAGATGTCTAAGTAAGGTCGGAAGACAGAACTAACTTCACCGAGGTATTTCGCATGAGACTTAGTTTCAATTTTAGTCTCCTCAATGCAACAAGCATCATGAGTACTTACTAGTGTTTGTAGATCTCGTTTATGCCTAAGGGAGATAGATGTCAATAGTCTTGCATTTTGAGGGATTCAGCATGAGACCATTTAGTTTACACCACTGACTGATGTTCGACAGGAAGCTATTTAATTCGAAGCAGTCTGACTGAAAACATTTTGGCGGCCTGTTTGACACCTGGGGTACCTTTCTGTACATCTACACATTTCCTTTAATATGAAATGAACTACTAACTTGAATTCTCCGTGAATAATTAATTACATAACTGTATCTCCTGAAAGCATTTTTCCCGATTGGTTGTTAATCTGCACCGCCATCGATGTTGTGTTGTATCGTGTGGCGTTTTCTTTTCTTTTCTATTTTTTGATAAATTTCACTGATAATCAATCAAATGTCGTTTCGTCACTGATACGTTTGCTTACCCAGATTGTGCGAATCCCCTGGCACTTTTTGTGTTGTTTCCATTGCTCAAATTCTCTATATTTTACTGGCGAGAGCATGGTCCATGGTTGTATACATATGTCTATATGTGCCCGAGATTTATCAAATTATCATCAATTTTTCGATTTATTATTTATCACTGAGAAACACAGTTTTAAGCATTAGTTTTATAATAATATTTAGTAACTAATGACAAGTTGTCTCTAATGCAGATAACATTCAGAGTCATAAATTCTCAACTTATTGAGAGCAGATAAACTGAAAAGTGAGATGTAAGCGAAAAGCTTCCCGAATACGAAAAATAAAAATGAAAAAGAAATGCTGTGTCTTTGTTATGACGAATATCCTCAAAACACTTTTGATGCATACACTGTTGATTACTGTCGACTTACACTCAGTCCGTTGTGATGATTACACAGAATTATACAATCACACTGTTGTAAGCCTTTATCTGCAGGACAAAGAATATATTTATATGGCTTACAGTTGTACGGATAGTGCATTTGTTCAATTTCCTTGAAGGTGGTGCATATTCTATTCGAACAGTGACAGTGATTGGCTTTCACTGAACAATTACACACTATTCGTTCATATGGTGTTGCAGGTGGGTGTTTCTGTGCTGCTGCTGCTGCTATTATTTTTGTTGATGACACACTTGGCTCTTATTCTCCCGACTTTTGTATATCTGTTTCAGGCAGTATTAGTAATGCTGGAGTTTTAAAAGCTGTTGTCGACGTCATAGTCTGTACTGATTTCGATAGTTCGGATTGTTTTGATATTGACAATGGTGGTGATGGTGGCGGTGTCGGTGTCAGTGTCGGTGTTTCTGATCTTGGCGGTGGTGTTGGTGTTCTCTGCGATTCTCTCGGCAATGGCAATGACAATGGCAGTGGCAATGGTGGTTGTGACTGTGATAATTGAACTTTAGACTCAGTACTGTACTGTCTAGAAAACTCCTTATCTGTTCGACATTCTGCAGACGAATTTCCGATTGTTTGTTCACGCTGCATATTTGTATTCTTGTTAACAAGAGAACAACCACACATACAATAATTATTTCTTTCATTGAATTTACACTTTTGTGGACTTGATGTAGAAGCTGTAATAGTGAGTTTAACAGATGGCAGTTCACAATGTTGGATAGTTTTAGAGCTTGTAGCAGTTGTCTGATTCAGTGGAGGCTCATGTTTTGAAAGGGCATTTCGCTCAGTTGCATTATACACCGCATTCACAGGATTTAATTCATCCAGTGTTTCAACATCTGGTTGAAATAATGTATTCAAGGAAATTTTATTCTCTGCTAGTACATGTTCAGTATTATCAATTGACTGGACTATTCTTAAATTCAAAGTACCCGGGAGGATATTTTCTTCTTTCAGCACTGCATCAGAGTCATCTGGTAACAAGGATGGTGAACAATATGTAATAGAAAGATGATGATTTCGACAGCATTCACAACATTCACAGGGATATTTTTGTATAGCAAACTGTTCAGTACCTATTGATGTTGGATAATTTTCTAGATTTTCATTTTGGTCAGTTAGAACAGGCAAATAGGGTGATTTGCTTATATCATCATCTTGTGATGACGTTTGAATTTCGCACAGGTTTTCGTCTAACGGTACATCTTTACTTATGACGAGTTTTTGATCATCTGAACTCATTTAATGTTGTTGTTTTTGTGGTGATGGTGGTTGTGGTTGTTCTAGCTGCTCTTCTTGTCTTTGGTCTGTATTTCTGTTGTAATAGTCGAAAGTCTCCTGAAGTAGTAGAACATACTCTTCAAGTGATAACTTTTCAACCTCTTCAACTTCAGTTTTCACAGGTTCATGTGATTCTATATCTCTGTGTTGTTTTGTAGTTTCAGTGACACCATGGTCTTCATCCTTGAATAATATTCCTTTTTACTTCATCTTCTTCTTTAGACAGAGATATTTCAGTAATGTTTGTGAAAGATATTGGCGAATTTCTTGACGTTTTAGCTTGATGTTTCTTAGACGTTGTATGTTTTGAAAGTGTAGCTTTATTGGAAGGCTTTGTTGAACGTGTAGGTTTCTTAATTTTTTTGTCACTAGGCGTGGTACCTTTAGTCTTGTATGGTGACTTCTTTCTTATAAAACAGAGTAGAGAATTCCTACTTTTGTCAATTTTATTGGCATTCGGTAATGTTGCACCACTACCGGTGCTATCGTGAACACTATCATCATCACTCATGTTTTCAGATCCACTCGAGGTGTCGGATTTAGCTAAGACGTCCTTTTCACGTCGCTTCTTTCTTTACTTTCACGAGATCGACTACGATGAGATGACTTCTTCCTTCTTATTCCCTTCTTCACAACCTCGTGTTCCTTAATTACTTCTGGTGGATCAAGTGTCTGTGGAGATTCTGAAGTCTTCAATGTATTCATATATTCTCTGGAATGCTTAGGCGATTTCCCTCCACACGGTGACATTTTCCATTTACGGGTGGACTTCTCAGATCCACACGAGGTGTTCCATTTAGGTGAGACGACTTTTACACGTCGCTTTTTATCATTAATATGTTCATGTTCTTGTGATGGAGATCACTCGGAGTTTTTTGATGTGACAAATTTGAGACCACTAAATTTGTCTACTGATTTTGTTTTCAGGACTTCCTGACATGTCGTATGATGTGAGAAAGAGCGATTGGATTTTTTATGTGTACGAAGTTTCGGTTCTTGTGACGATGAAGAGGAATCGGAAATATCGGTAGATGTCTTGCTTGGTGTTTTTGAATATCCCCACCAACAAACTCCCTTATTCTCTATGATCACTTGAACCTTGATGCTTTTCAACAGTCCACATCTGCTCTCTCAGAACCCCAGCACTTCTACATCATACCTCCTTCTTTCGCTGACTGGGCAGCCATACCACTCAGCCTCATACATATTACGTACAATCCACGTCCTCATTCTCATTCTTGCTTTCACCGAGAGAGATGACACATCGGCTGGATGGGTAAATGTTTTGATATTGTGGAGAATGAGTAGTGTAATGTAGACAAAAGGTGCACGAGATGACAATTAACTAGTTGGTGAGTTTGCTTATCATTGTGGGGAGTTCAAAGTTGGGTCACATTACAGCTATAACAAGGAGATGGTGTTGTAACTGACGATTACGTGATTAAATATACGACAGAGTAAAGACATCTGGTTACCAGGTGAAAAGAAGTCTGATGACTATTCCTTTCTACACTCACAAATCAGCTTTCAAAAGATTGATATAAGTTCCTCTCGCAATTTGAAGAAGAACCCAACTATATTTAATTCCTGATAATTTCAAAGGATTTAAGGCTGTCCACTTTGTGATCCCTGTCAAGCAGTGGCCTGCTTATGGCGCTACAGAAAGCGTTTCTCACACAAAAACCGTTGTGTTTGCTTTATTCACATTTTACAAGATTGTATTCGTGAGGAAACTAATAAGACTAAGAGAATCCTTGAAACTGAAACTACAAGTGCCTTCATGGCTTATCTAATATTCTAAAAGTACAAATATATTTGAGAAACAAATTGACAATATTCCCTTACTTCATCTTCAGATAAGAACTAAATCAACCTGTGTATTGAGTGAGGTGAAATGGTTTCACAGTGATACCGATGTGAAACACTATATCCCCTGATAGTGATCCCGCTCCACGTCTGCTGCATCACATAGTGCGATGGGGTTGCTGAGCTCACTTCCAGCTCTTCCACCTTGCTGAACTTCAAACATCAGCACGTGTACTAGGCGAGTCTAGGGATTGTAACCTTCGATGATTGAATCTGGACTACGTGCATGCTTGGAGAGCAGTCTAATATTGTGCTTGCAATCGTTTGCAATCATTTAAGAAATCTACTGAACTAAGCATAAAGAAAAGCACTGGATATTCAACACTAATTGTATGTCAGTTACTTGTTCCAAGTGGCTCAGAAACTATTGTGCAAGGAATTTGAAAACCACTTCAACACTATGGAATGCAGTGTTCCGAATATCTATGACCCACAATCATACCGACGCACACACGATATCTATGGTCGGCCTGCGAAATTTGGCCTACCGATATCCATGCTGAAAATGACATACTTGTACTGAAAATACGGTGTGGCATCAAGCCGTAATCAAAATAAAAAAATAAAATAAATCATGAAGAATAAGGTGGTGACACATGCCAACAGAGAGCTCAGCGAAGTGTTTGTGACCTATGAATTCTGAGGTCTACCAACACAGAGACATGCCTGAAACCCCAAAGTCGCTTACACTTTATCATTCATCTAATTATTTCATTATTCGCAATAATTCATCTTCAATCGCTTATTATGTTATCAATTCGAATCGACATTCGCTACTCAATTGCTCCTCATATGCAACCAAAATTTCGCGTTGAGTTACACAACCGTTCAACTTCTACGATTATTTCTACCCTTCAATACCTGATGTGATTTCCTTCAATTATCACTACATGCTTGTTTTCATCTCATCGTTTACGATAACTAATCGTCATCGTCATCATGCTCTGTCCGGTTCACTGGTACGCTCACACATCCAAGCCTGTTGCAGGACAGATTTGTGACGAAAAACAAAAGTAACTTGAATTTGAATTATAACCTCTTTTATTCGATTAATAGATAAATGTTGTACGCTGTGCGGGTTGGCGACAACCGACAACATACATCACATTTCATGCATTTTATCCAGACATCAGTGCGTAGAATGAACAGAAAAAGAATAGACCCACGCATCACCCCCAATGAAACTGTCGATCCACAGCTGAATGATACTGGAGACCAGAATGCGTGTCACCACCTGAAAATGAATAGAGAAAACACACATTAAGCATCATGTCCCAGTCTGATCCACATTTGTGCAAATGAAATTCTCGTCTGTTCGGATAGTGAGACTGTCGGTCGTCATTATGGAAGTTCGCAATCATGCAATGACGGTGTCAACGCCATTGAGAAAAGGACACAAGTATTTCATCACTCCACAACGTATGACTTCCAACTAATGAGTACGCCATTTGAGTATGGCATTGTGCAAACAAATCAGCTAGCCTGTATACACGTATCAGGAAATCGGTGGGGCGAGATCATATGTGTTGTCAGCAACGTGAAAATATTGAGCATTTTGCAAATACACGCCTAACGAAGACAAACATTGAGTGGAGAAAAGCTACTCCATCAATTCAAATAACAGCTGGTGTGCATAAAGAAAACGCGATATTTCACATGCACAAACGACAGCGAAAATGTGAAGCATATCTCACCTTGAAGGGATGAATGGTGGAGCAGGTTGGCTGTGGTTGGATGAATCGCCTTTATAAGTAGTCCAGATTCAATCATCGAAGGTTACAATCCCTAGACTCGCCTAGTACACGTGCTGATGTCTGAAGTTCAGCAAGGTGGAAGAGCTGGAAGTGAGCTCAGCAACCCCATCGCACTATGTGATGCAGCAGACGTGCAGCGGGATCACTATCAGGGGATATAGTGTTTCACATCGGTATCACTGTGAAACCATTTCACCTCACTCAATACACAGGTTGATTTAGTTCTTATCTGAAGATGAAGTAAGGGAATATTGTCAATTTGTTTCTCAAATATATTTGTACTTTTAGAATATTAGATAAGCCATGAAGGCACTTGTAGTTTCAGTTTCAAGGATTCTCTTAGTCTTATTAGTTTCCTCACGAATACAATCTTGTAAAATGTGAATAAAGCAAACACAACGGTTTTTGTGTGAGAAACGCTTTCTGTAGCGCCATAAGCAGGCCACTGCTTGACAGGGATCACAAAGTGGACAGCCTTAAATCCTTTGAAATTGTCAGGAATTAAATATAGTTGGGTTCTTCTTCAAATTCCGAGAGGAACTTATATCAATCTTTTGAAAGCTGATTTGTGAGTGTAGAAAGGAATAGTCATCAGACTTCTTTTCACCTGGTAACCAGATGTCTTTACTCTGTCGTATATTTAATCACGTAATCGTCAGTTACAACACCATCTCCTTGTTATAGCTGTAATGTGACCCAACTTTGAACTCCCCACAATGATAAGCAAACTCACCAACTGGTTACTTGTCATCTCGTGCACCTTTTGTCTACATTACACTACTCATTCTCCACAATATCAAAACATTTACCCATCCAGCCGATGTGTCATCTCTCTCGGTGAAAGCAAGAATGAGAATGAGGACGTGGATTGTACGTAATATGTATGAGGCTGAGTGGTATGGCTGCCCAGTCAGCGAAAGAAGGAGGTATGATGTAGAAGTGCTGGGGTTCTGAGAGAGCAGATGTGGACTGTTGAAAAGTATCAAGGTTCAAGTGATCATAGAGAATAAGGGAGTTGGTGAAAATGACCAATCAATATCGAAAGCATCAATCACTATAGACGGAACAGATTTAGAAGAATGCACTCCCTTCACTTATCTGAGAAGTATTATTTCAAGTGAGGGCAGTTAGTCGCCAGGGATGAAATTGTCAAAACCGTCATCAGAATGACAAGTCACACTTCCATCAAAATGATATCAGTGTGTATCTCTTCTGTCCTCAACATCAAGAACAAAATCCTGATTTTCAATATTAGTCTTAAGTGATTTCCTCTGTATAGGTGAAAATCCAGCAGGCCACCACAGACTTTTACCAACATCTGGCTTCTTTGAAGAACACATG